ATTTAGCTTGGGTAAGCCTCCAAGCTCTGAAAGTAAGCTCCGTCAGGAGGTTTATTATTCATAAATCTTCCCTTCAGATTGGAAGTCTCCCAGCAACTACTCTCTTTCCAGTATTTGTCTTATTTTGTATGTCAATAAAGAAATTTAACTCTCAGAGTATCTCTGGGTGACCAGCACCAAGAGAGAGCTGCAGCAAAGTTATTGTTTCACAAAAAAATCTTTTGGTTATATCTAAACTGGTAGTTTGTGAGGAATAATCTAGATTCAGATTGTTGCATCTGTATTTATAAAACATGTTTGAATTTAATTTCACCAGCTAAACTGGATAAAGAGATTTGTAACTGGAGCTATGAACTCACTCAGTCAAGTGAAAGTTCTATCAAGAAGCAAATTAAATCCTTGACCTAACTAATCAAATACCAAAGGCATGTTGTTCACACAGGAATGAAAATCTCTGAAGCACTCAGGTCCTAATGAACTGACTTTTTAAATTAAAAAAATATAGCCCTAATATAAAAAAAAAAAAAAAAAAAAAGCTGTTCCCTGCTGCAGAGGAGACCACAAAATCTAGAGCCAGGAGAAACAACTGGATTTGCTGGGTTCTATAAACAGAAGTTGATTTTTTGGAGAACAAAGAGAATTTCTGAGGCATTCTGGTTATTTCAAAGTGGATATATGCCACATTTTACATCTATAAGTAGCACGATGACAAAAACAATAAAAATAAGTCTCAGGATTATAAGAAAACTGATTTCCGCCAGTGGGCCACCTAAGATAATATTTAATGTAGTAAATTCTAGCAGAGCCCAATAATTTAAATACCCTCTGATATTTTAATGTACCTGACTTATGTCTTTTGTGATCTAACTAATTTCAAGGCACCCATAGTTCACTTCCACACTCTGCATTGCTTTATGTTAAATGGAGACAGCAACTAAATAGAATAGAACTTAGAAGAAGAATACTCTGATTTGTGGACAACTAATGAAATTTGGGAATACTCATTTTACGACTAAGTGACAACTATCCAAATCTCATAATATTTTGATGTATTACACTTCATGTTTCTACTCTCCTGTGTCCTTGCTCCTTCAACACACGTAGGTAGCTTCATTTGATATTAACAGGCAATGTACATTAACACAATTGATCTCCCTGGATACCAGTGATGACAGAGTAAAATTACTTGAATTTCAATGGAATGTAACATTAGGTTAAAAGAGAAATTTCAAGATGATCTTCTCATATCAGGAATTTAAAATGAAGAATCAGACAACTAAGATTATTGGGAAAATGTCTTTTTTTTGGGGGGTGGGGAGAGATTTTTGCTATGGGGCACGTGTGCTGGACAGACAGAGAGACAAAGAGATAGAAAGCGAGAAATCCCCCCCGGGGGGATGGTCACGCCACAATCCCTTTTCCTCCATTCTCCTCTCGGGATCTTGGGTACGCATGCACACACACACACGCCCAGCGTGAGTTTTAAGCCACCGGGTCTGGGATGCAAACTGCAGTCGACTACATGGGAGTCCAGCGACATAGCCATTACACTAACTGCTGGTCCCGGGAAATAGCCTTTTAAACTACTTCTAAAAGTTTTTACTCCAAATTTTTACCTTTCTTGAACTTTTTTAGGTTTTGACCTTGTTCATTTTTTAAAGAAGAAAGCACAAACTAATATTTTAATATTTTGATATTATGTAAAGTATCATTCATATACACATGTCATCTATAAGCAGTTTGACCGGAAATTAAGGTACAACATGTTAATAATTTGGATTTTACATCATGCTATTATTCTATAACGATCAAATTATCTCTAATTCCCTTTTCTATCAGAAGTGAATATCTTTTATTATTTAGAACTAAATCATGGAAAACCTTATTTATAACATCTTGAATTTTTTCCACGAATTAAATTGTATACTTCTAGAACACACTGTTTCCACTGGAATGGACTGGCTTTCAGGTGATAGAAATTCAGTGTCTTTGAATGGCAGAAAATAGCATTTTCTGTCCTAGCTGATGATTCCCTTTGGTGCAACACACTGAGCATGCAGGCACACTTTAAAGGACAAATGGGAAGCCAGGGCACACGAGCTGCAGAGGCACTGAACACACGGACCTCGTACGGCCTGGTGACCAGCACGCCCAGGCTGCAGACTCCAGGGAGTCACACTCAAGCAGTTGTTCTCACAATGCGAGCCAAGTACCCTGGGGGTGCCCATCTACTATGGGGAGCCCATATGATTAAAATCCTTTGTTATCTTATTAAAGAGATTGCTAGTACAAAAGATGAGTTTCATCTTAAAAGATACTTGCTTTTTAAAATCACATTTTCTCTTAAGCACATGGTGGAGTTTTCCACGGTTACACACCATGTGATTTCACAACAGACTGAATTCAGATAAGCCGACATGAAAGTCCAACTGTTGGGCCAGTCAGCAGTGCGGTGCTTAAGGCAGCTGGATCCCACATAGATGACTGTGTGGTGCAAGTCCTGGACCTGGTGACCTGAGAAACATGCCGGGTGTGTGTGCACGCATGCCCCAAATCCCGAGAGATGAACAGAGGAGAAAAGATTACAGTATGACCAAGTCCCTTGGGGAATGATTTTTCATTTCTCTCTCTCTTGCTCTTTCTCTCTCTCTCTGTCTCTCTAATGAGCACACACACCCTATAGCCAAAAAAAAAGGTCCAGCTGTTAAACCAGACATTAGAGGTATTTACA